AATTTAAGGCTAAAAGTTTCGTTTGAGAATGATTTTTTGACTTTTTATGAGAAAAAGAATATAATAATTATGAATTAGATGTGATATTTTATTTTATTGAACTAAAAAATTTATTTTATTTTTTTATGATTAAAATAACCCCAAACTCAACCCAACCCCTCTTCCCAAATGAAGCCTAATACAACTTGCACCCCCGAATTGTTCCCTTTCTAAAGTTAATCTATAATTAGAGATTTTTGAAGAATCACATGAAATTGTTTATTTAGTATTTTTAATTAATAAAAAATTGAATTTATTTTTATTTTCGAATTACTAAATAAAAGTGACTCTCACCCATAACTTTTTTCATTAGATGACCAGTTTTGAATATTATTTAAATAATATCACGTTTACTAGTCTATTGATATATTTTGTGTTCCAAATTTTATTGTTGGAATTGATATATACTCAGCAGTGAGTCCTCTATCCATTATATATTTATTTTTTAATTTTATTTTTTATTTGTTATTTATATATATTTTTTCTATATACACTTTAAACAATTAAATTAGACTTTATGCTCCCTCAGCAATAACTCAATCACATGCATAATCCCATCAACAACATAAATAATTAAGCATGAATATGCACCGAACAAAATTTCATCATTTGAGTTGAAAAACAAAAGCAAGTCTTTTTGCTTGATTTTTGTGGTGTACACATATGATAGAATTGAAAAAGGAAAAAAAGAGTAAATAATTTGTTGCGTAGTCCTTTTCAGTAGATTCTATGCATCTGCATTCTCCATTTTAAAGATGTCACAGTTTTTTGGCATCACATGATATTGTCAAATGATGAAGAAGAAGTAATAAGAAGAGACAAACAAGGCATTAATGGCTTTTTCCTCACTCGTCATCAACAAGTTGGACGTGTTGCAATTAGAGTTTGTTTGCAGTCTTTAAATGAGCTCAAACATGTTGTGGGCATGTGAGGACTTCCTTCACACATCTTTCACTGCAATTCAACAACAGATTTGGCGGTGGAGTCGATGGTATTGCCGGTGGTGTAGTATTTGTAACGAGTTTTAAAATATGTTTATGTCTATTTATTTTTTTTTATTTTTTAAATTTGATTTTAAATAAATTTTAATAGAGTTCATCATGAGCATCCTAATATCTTGTTATTTTATAGTGCATATAATCAAGTCGACTACAAAAGATTACACTTTAGTGATTAAAATTAGGCCTACTAATTTTGAAGTTGTGCATTTGAATTTGAGAGTAGTTGCTTTGTGCGATGCGAAGGGTTAATCCCTCTCTACATCCCTCTTGAAATAGGAACTAAATTGGGTGTAGTTTATATATATATATATATATATATATGAACGACATTTTAATTGAATTAATCATGAGTAAAATCTTAGTATTTTGATTTTTTTATAATACATATAATTAAGTGCAGTACAAGAGGCTACTTGTTCAATAATTAAAACTTTATCTATTAACCTTGAAGTTGTGGGTTCAAATTTGAGAATAGTTGTGCAATCATTCCAAAGGTTCAGTCTTTACTCAATCTATCTCTCTTAGACTCTCATGAAATACAGACTAAAGTGGGTGTAGCGTTTGTATATATATATATATATATGGGGTAAATGACACAGGTGGTGTATCTAATTTGAGCGAAATTTTATCTTGATCTCCGTAATTTTAATTTTATCAATTTAAATCTCACACTTGCAATCACATTTGAATGTGGTGCTTTCGTCAATGGCTGTTAGTATTTTAGACACAAAAAAAGGAACATTTGCAACTCACATAGGAATTTTAGCAAGTCCAACGTGCAAGGAAAAAAAAAAAAAAGAATTATACTGTTGTTTTCTAGTTTTTTTTTTTTTTTAATTTTAATTTGGTCTCTCAAATTTTGCACGCGTTATTTTTCATGTAAAATGTTAACAATGACTGATAGAGACTGCATTGATCCAAAATTAAAAGTGTGAAGTTTAAATTAATAAAATTAAAACTACAGAGATTAAATAAAATTTTACTCAAACTAAAAGCATTAAAGGAAATTATTCAATATTTCCGGAGTGCCACGTGTCTGTACTCTTCAATCAATCATCATTTAACATGTCTCTCATATTTTTCAATCACCTAACACAATATCTCACTTACTCACCTTCTTTACTAATCATGATATTATGTAATACCACGTGTCCATATTCCGGGATTACTGAATAATTATCTAATGATTAGAATATAATTTATCCATATATATTATATATACTCCCTCTGTTTCAAAATAATAATCCTTTTGAGAAATTTAACTTTTTTTTTAGTAATACAATTATTGCAGTTTAAAATAATTAATTTTTTAAAATTACCCTTTAATAGTACATTTTTTAAGAAATATTCATTGTCATAATTTCATTTTTTGTGTTGTTAATGAATTTAAAAGAATAATAAAATAGGAAATTTATATTATTTTTATTCTTGATTTTTGAAAAAAAATTAATATTTTGAGATAATAAAAAATAGAATAAGGAACTAATAATTTGAGACAGAGAGCAATCAAATCAAACTAGATAATAAATTATTTAAACTTAATTTAAAAAATTTAAATTGTATTAAAATTTAATTTATCGTTATAATGATCATATAATTTTTTTTATTGAGCTGAATTCGAATAGCTTTCCTAGGAGAAGGCGGTGGAGTAGATGGTACTGCTGTTTTTGTTGTGGTCACAGGCTCACAGTAGACGTGACATAAATGAGAGAGGAAAATGAGTGAAGGTATTAATTAAGTATCAGCACCGATGATGGAGTAATAGGTCTCACTCAGTGCTATAGTATTGTTATGTCAGTTTTTTTTTTTAAAAAAAAAAAAAAAATAAATATTAGATCACTAATAATTATTTTAAAATATTATTTTTAATGATTTCTATCATTACTGATGAGAAAATTATATAATACTGAAAAATCGCCATCAGTTTTCTTCAATGCAAATGATTGGTGCATAGCTACTACCACTGCATTTATCTTTCTTCAATACGTAGGTCCATTAAGGTAGTTGAGAAGTGATTACACATTCAATTGTGTTATTAGGGTCAGTAAGAAATTCATAAAATTCATAATTCGATCCGGTTTAATTTAATTTAATAAGTTTGGATTGATTTTTTGAATTTATAATTCAGTTTTAGATTGAAAAATTAAAAATTCATAATCCACGGAATGGTTTCAGATTGAACTCCACGATTCCGAATTAGAATTGATTCGAACTATATACAAATAGCTTATTAATTTCGCATAGTATTTTCTCTTATTTTATATATAAAACCTAAATCGAAATCTAAACTCGCATAGTATCTTCTTTTATCACTTTCATTTGTTAATTTTTAGTTTTAATTTATAATTGTCTAAATACTTATGTGGAATCAGTTTTCTTATGATTGTTTAAATTTTAGAACAATATGTCGCTATTATGGGAAGACATGTTGTTAATGTGAAACTAATATGATGTTATGTTCATGTTTTTATGAAATTAAAATATTTAATATTTTTTTTGTTATTTAATTATATAAATTTGTTGTCCTAAACCGATCCAATCCGTTGGTTTAAATTAGTTCTATGATTTAAACAAATTAAATTTATTACAATTTTTTAATAATCGTAAATAACGAATTGATCTTAATTTTATCTCAATCCAAACCATGTTCAACCCCCTATGTTTAGGAGCTAAATTCGAGATGGCCCATACGGCGAATGGGCGAGCCTGAGCAGGACCGGTTCTGACATTTTCAAGACTCAAAGCGGAGTCTTAAAATTGGAGCATTTTATGTATAAATAATAATAAAAAATTATTTATTTAAATTTTTTACTTTGAAAATGTATAATGTAAATTTAAAAAATATATTTTTTTGATGAATAAGTTTTTTTTTTTTTTTTTTTCAATCAGCAAATGTTAATTATTAGTTGTTAGATTAGCACTTATGAAAAAAATCTCCCTACCCTTGACAAAGCACCTAAGTGCTTGCACACTCTTAATTCAACCCCTTAATGGAAATAAGATCTATAAATATATATTTTTTATTTTAAAATCAAAATATTTCTTTTAATTTGAATTTGATAAAAATTTAAAAAATATATCGAAGATAAATTTTTATAAAAAATTTCACGAAAATTTGATGAAAGAGTTGAGTAATTCATATCAAATCAAGTTTTTTTTTTCAAGTCTATAATCAAAAAAGAAAAAAGGTTCAAGATGCTCTATTGACTTTTAATTTAGATAGTGAAGTTACATGAATTGATTTGAACTTTTATTTTTAGACCTACTAACACCATAAAAGTTTTTGAGACCGTTAAAATTTGTCAAATTGGGACAGGGCCGGCTCTGAGCCCGAGCAGCAAACGGTCCAAGTCAACGGAAAATCCACCTTATGTGGGAGCATGCTTTTTCCGTTCCGCGGAAGTGGGACATGATCCCATACCAAGGGGAGATATAGGGAGAAGGTGCCGAATATATCTGAAACCACAATGCAAACGATCAATGGAGGGCCAGCCAGGTAAACGCACCAAACCAAGTATGCAACACTTTAACACTTGGTCTCCATTTTATTTATTTATTTATTTATTTATTTTTATCAACACTTTAGGATGTTAGTAAAATTAGTGTTCACAAGTGTACCACATAAAGGGTCACTGCTAATTCATCAGCTCAAACTTTTAACCTTTCCTCACATAGTCTCTGTTTACCCTTTGGTGTTTTAGACGTCTTTTATTGACATACATAAGCATCAGAGAGTCCCCTACGCTGATCACCCCACTTGCAGTGTCTGTTCTTTGAAGTTTTTCAAGCAACAAAGGCAAGCGTTTGTGTCTGTCAGCTGCCATTTTCTGAGTGTGGTAAGTTTTTCCCACAGACACCTAGAAAAATGTTGTCCTAGAGAATTTTTACTGTGAAGCACATGAATCCCTCTCAAGGCCCTAAGCATTCCCTTTGTGATTTTGCATAAAAATTAACAGAAAATTATTGCTATTTAAAATTAGTATACTTAAATTGCAGAAGCATTCTTGTTATGATATTTGAATATCCATTACAATTGTATATCATGATGATTATGTGTTTCGTGGGAGTGTATTATGACAAGCATCTGCAAGAGATCTGGGAGGGTCAGAGAAGGAGCCATTGACAATGAGCTTTGAAAGAAACAAGTTTGAAGCTTGAGAGTAGTGTATCCCATCCCAGCTAATGTGTTTTGATGGATCATTACAAGGTTTCCCATAGATTGTGCCATTCACAATTGCTGTGTTTCCACAATTTACATGATAACCATAGTAACTCCCACAACAAAATTTCATTGGATCTTCAAAACCTGCCCTCAAAATATACACCAAACACACAATTAGTTAGTTGTGCTTCCTCCTCCAATGGGCATGGTGATTGATTGCATTTCACTTTGAGCCCCAAAAACTTGCTAATGGTAAAATGTTGGTTTGGTACCATTTATAGTTTAGTGTTTTCTAGTTTAAAAATAAAAATAAAAAATAAAAAATAAAAAATTTGGTACACGTGTTTGAAGATATTGTTTTGAAAGCAACTAAAAAGGGTGGTATGGTAGGAGGTGGTTGTTAGAAGGTGGGAGGTGGTTTTGGCTGAATGTGGTTGTTGACAGTCGAAGATGGTGGACAGTTGACCATCTAAGGTGGTGGCCAAAGGTGGTTACTACCAGTGGGAGGTGGTTGCCTTGACCATCTAAGGTGGTGGCCAAAGGTGGTTACTACCAGTGGGAGGTGGTTGCCAGTCGCAAGAGGTGGTGGTCAAAGGTGATTATTGGAGGAGGTCATTGGCGATAGTGGCGGGGGGTGATGATAAGGAGTGGGTGAAAGCAAACTTTTTGGGGCTTATAAAAATTTAGTAAATTTTGTAAGCACTATTTATAATTTTTTGACAATCAAAATCGATACCAAACAAATTTTTATTTACATTAAAAAATCCCATAAATATTAACAAAAAAACTATAAACATAAACGTTATCAAATATATCCTAGTTTTTTTTTTTTTTTTTGTCAACTAGTAAAAACTTTATAATGTAACAAGATTCAAACTCGGATATCATGCCATGAAAATTTACATACCTAGATTCTTTGCATTGCTTATGAGGGCATATTTAGCTGAATACACATCTACATATGTAAATGTGGCATTTGATAGTTGTGCCCTTAGCTGGGAGATCCTGTCCTTTAGCTGCTTGTTAAACTCCTCAGCCACCTCATTATAAGGCTTCACACACCCATTTTGGTCCAAGTTTCCAAGCTTTGGTGAGTAATAGATGACACTGTAAGGCAGACAACCGATTGGCCCAGTGTTATGTACCCAGAACACCCTTGCCCCTTCATAGTGTAGTTGCTGAAACATAGGTCTGAGAAATGTTAGTTTCATATGGTATAGACAAATTACTTAGAATCCTATGTTCATTCCTGCATATAAGGATGGACTTAGATGGGGTAAGGAGGTGATCGCCCCTTCACTACCATTTCAAAGACTCCCTTTGCTATATTAGTATTAGTTATTAATTATTTTTAGTTCATTACTTTTTTTAATATATATATTTGTTTTCTTATGTTAAAATTTTGGGTCGGTTCCTACCTGCGCTAACTCAATTTTAATAGTGACATGACAATATATAGCTAGGTGTAGTGTTGCTTACATGAATTGCTTGGGAGAACTGGTTTAGGACATCGGGAATTGATGCATTGGTTTGTTCTTCAGTGGTAGTTTGAAAACAATAGGCAAGATCATTCTGGCCAATGTCAAATGTGTATATAGCCTTTACAAAGTCCTCTGGCATTGGAAGACTGCTTTTACATGGTGGAATCTTCTTTTTCCCTATATATATATGCCACAAAATTAATAAAAATTTAGAAATCGATTGCAGAAAAGGAATCTTCTTTTTCCTTTTTGTGGACTCCTCGCAAGGCTAACCACGCTGCCCATTGGACAGAGAGGGCCTTTCTTAATGGTCTTCTCCCCCTCAATTGGGTTTGTAATCCCCCTATCGGGTTGTGTAAGGCTTTAGCCTTGATCTAGTTATACAACTTTGTCTTTCAAAAAAAAAAAAAACTAGTGCCTATACATGGTTAGGAGGTGAGTATTTCATGTCACAAGTGCATCAGTGTTGGGTGTACTCATGACATTTGAAGATTGGGTTAATGAATGGTCTAAAAAACATGAGACATGTTACACGTTAATCCCTTACATCAGATTGTTTAAAATCAACGAGGGGAGGAGGGGTATTTTTGGAACGTTAAAAGAATGTAGCAAAATTAAAATATTGGGAATCAAAATACAACAAAGGGCATACTTTGCGGGACCAAGATGCAACAGTAACCACATTTTTTATACCATCTTAGTGCACCTCCAAATGTGTTAGCACTGTATTGGAGATAGACATGAGTGGTGAGAACCGTTACACCAAACACAGATTCGAAAACATTTTCTGTCAAAACAGAGTGTAAAAATGAAAATTGCAGGGATGGGAAAAGAAAGAGGGAGAGCTTACCATTGTTGGATAATTGCTTGTAGAGGGCAGTGGTGCGAGACTTGAATTGAATGAAATGTGAGATTTGGATGCCCAGGTGGAATGGACTATACCCTCCTGGTCTGATAGATGAACCTCCTGTTGCAAAATTAGCACCATGACTAAAATTTGTCCCAATTGAATCCAGGTATGCACTCAAGTAGGGCACTCCCAATGTTTCAGCTGCACAAAAATGAACACTAGCATTAATAATTTTGAAATTGTTTAAATTCATTTGGAGAGTTGTCCCAATTAGTGGCACCACTACATACAGAGCCCAGTTTGATGATCTGTCCTTTATTTTTTAAGCTATAATTTTTAAAGCCACAATGGGTAAACCATCTATGAAAAATCAAATAGGTATAATAGTCTTAGTTACAAGATTTTCATTTTTGATATCAAATGGGATGAAATCATACATATACAATTATCAAATCAATATGATTTTTTTCACAAATGATCTACACACAAGGAAGTGAAAACTAAACAACTCGAATGCCCAATTCATTGAACTGGATGGATCCAATTCATCTCTTTAATTGGAGAGAAATAAGACCCTATTAATTTTGTAAAAAAGTAAGGGGCTAAATCTAAAAAATGCCATTTTGTACGTTGCAGGCTATTGAAATGAAGTAACAATGGCACCTTTCTATCAACATTTTTCCTCAAACGATTAAAAGGGTGAAAGAAAAAAATAAATAAATAAATTTGAAACAAACTATTTTACTTTCTCACCAAATCTCATAAAAAATAACAAGATTTGACAAAAGTTAAAAACAAATTGAATCTCAAAACATATTACCAAGATTCTCCATCAAATATGGAGGGAATAAATCACACCCCCAAGGTAAAAGTTACTCTCTTATCTTAAAAGATGGTGAAAAAAATAAATTAGATCATAAATTGTGAAGGCAGACCAATGGTGAATTGTGAAGGTTGAGACAAAAAATGTGTTACTAAATTGCTTACCCATAAAATCTATGATGAGACGACCATCACAGGCCCTTCCAGATGGCTTCCCAAAGAAAGTTTCACCATTTGGTGGTGGGATTTCACCCAGAATCGCTGATCGTCCTCCTGTATCTGAATTTGAGTCTCCAAAGTTATATATCGTGTCGAATCCACAGCTCTTTGAAGCTTTAACACTGCCACCCATTTCTCCGCCGATCAATCCAACCACCACCACCAATACAAACACCCACATTACCCACGGCGGTGGCAAAACCATGGTGACTTCTCACCAACCTCCCTCCTCAGAAAGTTCTCTCAAGGAAGGCACACACATGTGACTCTTCAGTTTCTCACAAGAGTGCATATGCTATATCTGTAGCCTGTAGGTCACTTTACTGAAATGATTGTCAACTTTTCTAGCTTGGGGACGAACAACATGCGGATGTGCTTGTCTGATTCAGTTTTTAACAAGTCCAAAATTGATAATTAAAAAGTAAAAGTCAAAAATATATCTTCTATGGCTTCTCAATACTACATTTTGTTTAAAAAATGTATGGTACATCGAAAATCAATGGCTCAGATTGAGCCACATCATTAAAAGTGACCTGGTAAGCAGGTCACTTTTTATAGTTATGAGCTAAAATCATATTTGTTCATAACTAGAATCAAATTAATCATAACTTAGTTATGAACTCTCATCACTTATCTTATAACCATATCTCATAACCAGCACCATTTTGTTGATAACCAATATCACATATTTCATAACTACAATCACGTATCTCATAACTACATCTCATAACCAATATCCTTTAGCTCATAATCACACCACTCTGATCATAACCACTATCACATATCTCATAACTACTTCTCATATAGCTCATAACCACTTCTCATATAGCTCATAACCACATCTTATAACCAATCCCTATAGCTCATAACCACATCTTATAACCAATCCCCATTTGACTCATAACCAACATTACATATCTCATAATCAACACCCTTTTGCTCATAACCACATCACTTTGATCATAACCAATATCACATATCTTATAACTAATAACCACATATCTCATAACCAAACACCCTTTTGACTCATAACTACATCACTTTGCTCATAACCAAAATCACATATCTCATAATCAACAATCATATATCTCATAACCATTACCCACATATCTCATAACCAACACTCTTTGGCTTATAACTAACATCACATATATCATAACTACTAATCACATATCTCATAACACCCTTTGGCTCATAGTCACACCACTTTGATCATAATTAACATCACATATCTCATAACCATTAGTCATATATCTCATAACCATACCACTTTACTTATAACCACAAATCACATATCTCATAACCAACATTCTTTGGCTCATAACCACACCACTTTACTCATAACCACTAATCACATATCTCATAACCAACATTCTTTGGCTCATAACCACACCACTTTACTCATAACCACTAATCACATACTCATAATCAACATTCTTTGGCTCATAACCACACCACTTTACTCATAACCACTAATCACATACTCATAATCAACATTCTTTGGCTCATAACCACACCACTTTACTCATAACCACTAATCACATACTCATAATCAACATTCTTTGGCTCATAACCACACCACTTTACTCATAACCACTAATCACATACTCATAATCAACATTCTTTGGCTCATAACCACACCACTTTACTCATAACCACTAATCACATATCTCATAACCAACATTCTTTGGCCACACCACTTTACTTATAACCACTAATCACATACCTCATAACCAACATTCTTTGACTCATAACCACACCACTTTACTCATAACCACTAATCACATACTCATAATCAACATTCTTTGGCTCATAACCACACCACTTTACTCATAACCACTAATCACATATCTCATAACCAACATTCTTTGGCTCACAACCACACCACTTTAAAATGTGTTGAAAATTTTTATCTACGATTCACTACAAGAAAAGTGGGCTTATGAGACGGAACTTTTTTGCGACGGTACAACTTGCCGTCTTATGCAAAAAATGTGACTTTTTGAGACGGCATAACTTGCTGTCGCCAAAAAATGTGACTTTTTGAGACGGCACAATTTGTCGTCGCAAAAAATATAGTATTTGTGATGGCAGAAATTGCTGTCGTAAAAAAAAAAAGAGTATTTGTGATGGCAGAGATTGCTATCGCAAAAAAAAATAAAGTTTTTGCGACGGTACCAACTACAGTCGCAAAAAAAAAGAAGAGTTTTTTGCGATTATAATACGTACTGTTGCAAAAAAAATAAAAAAAATATATATATATATATTGTGGCTTTGAGACGGCTTTATATATATATAGTCATAAAATTGTTTAAATAAATGCAACGGTATTTTTCTGTTACAAAAAAAAAATAAAAACGAATTCGTCTTACTCTTTTGAACATTTCTCTTTTCACCCATTTTTTCATCTTTCTATCTCTCTTCTCTCTCTCTCTCTCTCGCACTTATCACTCTTCTTTGTCTCTCTATGTCTCTGTCTCTCTTCTCTTTCTCTCTCTCATTCATCACTCTTCTCTGTCTCTCTGTCTGTCTGTGTCTCTTTCTCTTTGTGTCCCTCGTCCATCTTCCTTTTCTTTATCTCTCTCATCTCTCTTCTCTTTACCTCTCTCACTTATCTCTCTCTGTTTCTCTCTCGTTTATCTCTTTTCGCTCTTCTCTCTCTCTCTCTCTCTCTCTTTGTCTATACCTTTTCATCTATTTTTTCATCTCCATCTCTCTCTTCTCTTTCTCTCTCTCTCTCTCTTACTCATCACTCTTCTCTCTCTATTTATCTGTCTATTTGTCTCTCTCTCTCTCTCTATGTCTCTCACTCATCTATTTCTTCTCTCATTTCTTCTCTTTTTGTCCTTTTCGTTCATCTCTCTTCTCTTTATCTCTCTTGCCCATCTCTCTTCTCTTAATCTCTCTCATCTCTCATCTTTCTCTGTCTCTCTCGCTCATCTCTCTATCTTTCTCTCTGTCTCTCTATCTTTCTCATTGTCTCTCTCGTTCATCTCTCTTCTCTCTATCTCTCTTTGTCTTATCTCTCTTCTCTCTCTGTCTCTTTTTTGTCTCTCACTCTCTATCTCTTTCTTTCTCTCTCTCTCTCTCTCTCTCTCTCTCTCTCTCTCTCTCTCTCTCCCCCCCTCTCTTATGTTTGATTTTGGTGCAGGCTTTCAGTCAGTAATTGGCAGTTCTGAACTGATTGAAGCTGAGCTCTGCTTACACAGACAGGAACACATAGTGGCACGTCAATTTTAGATCAAGATGATATGAGAAGGGATGCGTGGGATTACAAGATTGATGAGATTGACCCTACTTTGGTTAATGAGTTACCGCCTGAAATCCAGGAATAGTTACAAGTGTGGCTCCGACCTTAGAAGCGGGTAGCTAATATTGGCAAACGTGGGTCTAGTATTGCTCATTATTTCTTGCCCACGAAAAATACATAAGCAAGTCGAATGTAATCAGAACCATCATTTTCTCTGTTTTATGTATTTATTTTTTTATGAGCCGCTTCCCTGTAATTCACATGAAAATGGAGTCTCGAAAACCCAAAATCCTTTCGATCCATCAAGATTTACATCTTAGGTCTTGGTGTTTGCACGTTAAGTGTTTTTAGTTGGTAAATCCTTTCTTGTATGTAATCTTTTTTGTTTTCCATTCCCGCTCTATTCTCTCTCTCTATCTCTTCTATCCGTCTCTCACTCATCTCTTCATCTCTCTCTCACCACCCATCTCCTCTACCACCTTCACCACTACTGCAAACGCCATTCCACCACCACCACTACTTCCACTGTTGCCATTTCACCTCTACGACTACCATGACTACTACCATTGTCACCACTCCACTACCACCACTACTACTACTACTATTACCTCTCATCCACCGCCGCCACTCCATCTCCCATACCACTACCACAACTTCATCACTAATCTCCTTCGCCATCACCACTCCACTACCACCACTACTACTACTACTACTATTACCTCTCATCCACCGCCGCCACTCCATCTCCCATACCAGTACCACAACTTCATTACTAATCTCCTTCGCCATCACCACCACCACCACCACCTCTTATCCATCACTTTCACCACTATTGTTGCTCTCTTTCCTCTACTACAAAAAATTTGTTTGGTTATGGTTTTTTAATAGAGTGTTGAATTAAGTTTTGAATTGTATGTGGAATTGAGTTTTGAAAGTTTGATGTGACATGTGAAATAAAAAAATTTGTTTGGTGATGAGTTTTCAAAATAGTTTTCAAAACTTAATTCAACATATAATTGATAATCAAATACATAACTCATAACTCGATATCCGTATTTTTGATCAACAGTCATAACCAAACTATTTTTAAAATACTCAAATAAAAAAATGTTTTTTTTTTCAATTAATTGTTTTTAAGTAATTTTTTTGAATATTTTTTTTTTCAAATCATTTTTTTTTTCAAACAACTTTTATGTCAATTATTTTTTGTCAATTAATTTTTTTATCAATTAATTTTTTAAGCATGTATAAACATTAAAAATATTAAAAATATTTAAAAAATTAAAATATTAAAAATATTTAAAAATTAAATATTAAAAATATTCCGAAAATCTAAATCTAACAAAACCTCAATTTCCCCCCTGTCTTTTCCCCGTCTTTCCCCCCTTTTTTTTTTCATTTCCTTTTAGGTTTGTAGAGCCCTAGTTTCGGAGCCCTAACCTTCGAAACAACACTGTCTCTCTCTCTCTTTCCCCCATGTCTTTTCCCCGTCTTTCCCTCCTTTTTTTTCATTTCCTTTTAGGTTTGTAGAGCCCAAGTTTCGGAGCCCTAACCTTCGAAACAACACTGTCTCTCTCTCTCTCACGGAGGCGACAACGATCGGCGATAGTGGTGGCTAGCGACGATCGGCGATCGGCGACAATGGCGGCTAGCAGCGATCGAATCATCGATTCGAAGGTATTCTTCTTCTCTTCTCTTCTATTCTCTTCTTCTCTGCTCTTCTCTTCTCTTCTCTTCATTGCTCTATGAGATTTGGACCTCTCTCTCTCTGTTTTTGATTTGTACCTCTCTTCTCTTCTATTCATTGCTCTATGACATTGGGAAGTGAAGGTGAAGAAGATGTGAGATGGCTTGACAGTGGTCTGCAGGAGGCTATGGATAATTTGATAAGTGTTGTGAAAATTTGAAAACTAAAATAAGAGATGTTATGAAAATCACAGAATCTATTAAAATGTAAATCAAATTAGAAAAATTGATGTTAGTCAATTTAATTTTGATGAAGTGTTGTGGTGATGTTGAATTAGATGGACAAGGCATCCATAATCAAAGATGCAATTGACTACATCCAAGAATTGCATGAGCAAGAGAGGAGGATCCAAGCTGATTTAATACAGCTTGAATCTGGAAAATTGAAGAAAAATACAGTTTTTGACTTGGATCAAGAGATTCCAACCTTGTCAAGACTCAAGAAAAAGGGAATTGATCATAGTTATGATTCAAGGAGATCAACCACTTCTTCCATTGAAGATCTTGAAGTAAGTCTTTGATTAAGATTTGATTAATAATTGTTTAGTTTCTGGATAATTTTGTTTTGGTTAGTTAATTTGTTCATAATTTATACTATTTTAAAAAAATGAATAGAGGGATAAATTGGACATATACATATGTATCAGTGATGTCATGTGCAGTTGAAATTCAATATTAAAAATCTTAAAAGTGATTCTTTGTACCTGGCCATTAAATCTTAGTTACACAACACATCACTTATTCTAAAATTACTTTAATAAAAAAAAAATCACTCTAATGGATCCATACTAAAATTTTATATCAGAACTTATCCAAAAAATTTAGAAATGGGATTGTCTCCAACTGTCACGACCCAAACCCGGCTCTATGGGTTTAGCACCGTAACCGGCCAGTAATCCGAGATTACCGAAGGCCTGCTTAACAGTAATACAGTGAAACAGAGTACAGGGCCTGGCGGAAGCCAATACAGTAAGTAAATAGTGTCCATTGAGCTGTGACAGTCTGTATGCCAAAAAGATTTTTCATGCATTCATACATACACAAACAGTACAGTCTATACAAAATTTACAGTCACACAGTACAGGGACCTAATCCCTTGATAACAGTACGGTAAACATTCAGTCTATACAGAACAGTAAAACAGTACAGGAGGGGGAATTGTAAAAGACCCCTAAGCCTTAACAGATAGGCTCGGAACCTCGCAGTGAGGCACAAAGGTTGGCTTGACAAAACTGGAGTCTAACCCACGCTCCTAGCTCCGATCTGGTGGCTGAGCACCTACATATATATATATAAACAGTGAGCTAAAGCCCAGTGAATAACATAAAGCGTAAAGGGGTTTAGAATGAATGTCCTTACGGTAATGAAAACAGTTCAATTCAATCAGTATTTCAGTTGTTCAGTACAGTAAACAGTCATATGTGGTACATCCATTAGCATAACAGTAACAGTAGGTCTTAAAAGACCGAACAGTAATGATGACCATCAGTCAGTAAACAGTAGTGGTTCCAACAAGGGAACCGACAGAGATCTCTGTAACAGTAACAATACAGTAAACCGTAGGTACTAAGGATGCCACAGTACAGTTCAGAAATAAAGGACATACATTCATTCAATAATACCAGTTCAGTAAACAGTTCAGTTCAGTATTCAAAAGATAATCAGTTGAACATATCTTTACACAATTGTTACTCACAGAGTTCTGGGCTACAGTATGCTAGAGCGTTTCCTCGAAATGCCAACCCTATACAGTTAACAGATTGAACACACTCTAAGTTTCACAATTGGGAAAGATAACAACTTAATCCCTAATTTGCCTTGGTGTGTTCTACAACGATATCCTCATCTAAATGTCTTAAACTAGGCCTAAGAATGCCTAGGATGGGATGAGGATGCAAAAATACACTTAGAAAACATTTCGCAAACTTTGCTGAAAATAGGGGCCTCGCTCGAGCGAGACTTTCTACGCTCGAGCGTAAGTCCAAAATCAAAGGCTCCGCTCGAGCGAGTAATCCTTCGCTCGAGCGATCTGTCGAAACAGTAAAAATACTGAATGCTGTGATTTTACGCGCGATGGTCGCTCGATGGTCGCTCGAGCGGAGCCCTGGACAAAGGTGCTCGCTCGAGCGGGGAATCCTTAGCCTTCGCTCGAGCGAGGAAGCCAAATCTGGAATTTCCAGATTTGCCTCCCAAGCTCAAACCAAGCATTAAATCAACTCGACTCTTGGGCCCAAATTCTGGAAAAACATAACTAAATTCAATGTATAACAAGTTTCAAAGCTCAATTTATGAATTCAAGCCCCCAAAGGTGAGTCAATTAAAACCATATTCAAACCCATTTTCAAGACCAACATTCAAACATGCAGGATGAGTTTTAAACCAAATTAAAGCTCCAAAGTTGCTCAAATGAGCTCATTTCTTTTCAAAACCAGATGGAAAACATGGTCTATAACAACAATGTGAGCATGCATGTACTAATGTCCGTGTAATCAAACTCAAAAAGCAACAATACTAACATGCATGCAAGAGATGAGCTTCAATCCACCATTAATGAACCAAATCATGACTTAGCTCTACAAATTAACATGAACATGCAAGAATCCACTCAAAACATGAATAAGAAGACAATGGAGCTACCTTTAGTCTTGTATTTCAAGAAGGGAGCTCAAATATGCAATCACTTCAACAATTTCTTCAATTACCAAGCAATTTACAAGCAAAATTGAGATGAACTCCACTCCTTAGTTTTTCTCTCTCTATGGTCGGCAATGAGAGGGGAAATGGCTGAGGAAATGTTGTCTTTGGCTCAAGTGTATGAGTGTATACAAGGCTTAAAGATGTGTGAGATAGTGGCCCACTCAAGGCAAAACGGTAATTAAGTCCAACTCTTTAATTAGCTTAATTTAATCATACCTAATCATTTTCAGATAATTATACCATAAATCACATTAATTCTGAGGATCATGGAACATCAATCGGTTTCTAATTCGGCCGCCGATTGGCCTTCAATTTACAGTTTAAACATATAAGCATGAACAGATAATCATACAGTCAAACAGATAGAAATGCAATTTAACTAACATATACTCAATCAATTCGGTTTCCAATTTCAGTCAGTCAGTTCAGTACTTTTAATCAGTTCAATTATCAGTCAGTTATCAGTCATTATCAGTTCGTTTAGCAGTAATCGGTGATTATCGGTAATCAATCAGTCATTAATCAGTAAACAGTTGAGGGTTGTTACACCAACCAATTAGAGCATCTAGTCTGGCCTACTGTCATCCATTTTAGATACAATTTGACAATCCGATATCTAATCAAATTAATTTTTAGTATAAATGATATGTTCGAAAGGTTTGATCTCAATCTGAATTTGGATTTCATTAGTTATAGGACGTTTTTGATCTGGACAATTACATGAAGATATTTTGGAAAGGAAAAAAAAAAATGTGACATCTACCTCAATTTTGGCCTTCCATTTTAGATATAGATATGTATATAGAAAGGAATCGAAATAGAGAAAGACTCAAACAATTGCAAAAGCCATGCACATGTTATTTTAGAATGGTCAGTTGAACCCTAGAAGGTGCAGAGGCTTTGGCACTTTGTGCTACCCCATTTTGGTTGAATTTCTTTGATTTATCTAAAAATTTGTGAATTGAACTTGACTCTTCTTCTTCTTCTTCTTCTTCTTCTTCTTCTTCTTCTTTCTTCTTCTTATTTTATTTTTATTTTTTATTATTGAATGAGGATGCATTAAATTTTTATCAATTGGAAAGTAGTGTTCCTTAATTCAATTTTTCTTGACTCAATCGCAATTTTTTTTTTTAAATTTACACACGCATCGCGTGTGCCTTAACCGCTAGTATTTATTTATTTATTCTTGTGAACTTCTGTTAATTTTCAAGTTTTGCTTGTGAAAATTCTTTGACTGAAATATGAATTTCTTGTGGTTCAAATTTTATTCTTTGGGTTTGGTTTTGTTACAAATCTATGACATAAGAATGGGTTTCTATGAATAGATATGTTTATGTTATTATTTGGCTTTCTATATTTGGTAGTTTAGCATTATCAGGTCATTTTGTTCTTAGTTAGTTAATTTTAAATTTTAAGTTGTTATGGGATAGTTTTTGAAATTTTCACTATGTGTACATACTTTTAGTCCTATTTTTCATCCTTTTTGGCCTAGCAATAAATAAGTAAATAAAACTTCAATTTACGTCTGTCAAATGAATTTTCAGTTTATTATTAGTTTGAGTTTTATAGGCATGGCAGCATGGGCTAGATTTACGCTAATTGGTAGGCTCCTGTTGATTGTGATACATGCTGCTGATTGTGATTTTGAGCAAGTCTTCATGAAGGGGGAATTTTTTTCTTACTTCTTATTTTAGCTCATTTTTGGTATTAATAACTGTTTGTTTACTTTTTAACAACCATTAATAATTGCCTTGTTTACTTTGGTTATGAAGTGTAGTTTCTCTTGCATAAAACCACCTCCTGACAACAAACATGGGCAATTAAGTTATATATATTATACTCTTTTTTTTTTATTTTCTATGTTTTATCCTCAATATTTGAAATTGCAGAGAAATTTTATGCACTTAATTAGTCTGCTTTTCTAACATCTTGTGCTTTAGTGTTTTCCAAAACTAGCATGGAAGACACTTCATAATGTTTACTTGTCGTTTGCATTTCTGAAATGTCAGTATGGGCCACTGATTTTCTTGTAGGTTCTGGGATCTTTGCTTAGTTGATCACAAGAATTGACGATGTGGCCTGCATACCCGAGGTATATTTTTTTATTTTTTAAAAAATTTGACCGGAAGGAAAAGGCGCTGGACTAAATTTCTGAGTGATTTAAAAGAACAAGCTTGATTTTTGGAGTGGGGTTGTAACCCCCTAGCATATGATGAATAGCTAGTTCTTTCTGTTGCCAAATGTGATTTTGGGCAAGTCTCCATGACCGTAAGTGTTTTCTGTAGTAGCAACATAATACAGAACATTCTGTTGGATTCATTTGCTGTTGATTAATGTTGCTGTCTTCTTTCTTTAGTTTTATTTTGTAGTTAATTCTTAGCTTTAATTAGTAGATTTATAAGCAGTATTTATGTTTCTTGATCATAAAGCTTAATTGGAGAGATATAGAAGCACTGTTTTTGTAGGTTAGTCATATAAGTATGTTATGTTGTGTTTGGACATTGTGTTGCTGAGAAAATATGCAATGAGGGAAAGAAAGGAGACGCAAGTCTATTTGGTTTTTGTGTGTTGTTGTGTGTGTGTGTGTGTGTGTGTGTGTGTGTATGTATTTGTGCTTGAAGAAGATAAATAACTGCTAATTGTTGCTTATTTCGTGTAAGTAGTAGATCTATAAGCACGTACTATGCTTGGTTGCTGAGAAAATAAGTTCAATGAAAATAAGGAAGAAGGAAACTGAAATGCTAAAATCTTCCTTAATTTTATTTTTGATTTCCCAAAATTGACAACTTACCATATGCCCTTATGGTTTTGG